GAAAATGAGAGAAAGATGCTAATCCTTCCACAGACAAGCCGATCTCGACTATGGTGACTTTACATATGGGTGGAAGAACTTTTTTACGGACACTTATTTGGCGTTGGCAACAATATGTAAGTTATATCAATGACATGCAACAGCGCGCCTAAGCACTTATTAGCTATGATGATAAGCTGATTTAAACTTTCTTAATAGGAAATAAGTTAACACTACAAAGTTTCCAGTGCACTTAAAGCCAAAGGCATTGAAACCGAAAATGCCCAAGATAACCGAGGCACGACGAAAAAGCCACTGATAAATGTCAGCGTTGACTGTTCTCAAAAATTGGAAGTTGAAGGCTTTGGAGTTCAATAATACAATTAAAGATGGAGCAGAATGAGCGTTTATACCAATGATATCAACTTCAGCAACTCTATTCGAGAAAAAAAAAACTGGTCTAAAGCGCTGGGAAGTCACCATTACGTTTCACGAAGTTGAACATCACATCTGCCGCAGTTACAAAGCCAATCGTCATTTTTCCTAAGACTGGGCTTCCGTTCTCATCCACAGAATAGACCCAAAGCCGTATAGTGAAGTGATGCTGCGGAATGGTATCTCATCTGCCATATTCACTAATAAATGTCTGTAGTTTATGCATTAGCGTTACTTATAGTCCTTCTAAAGTCCTCATTTTTCATGCGCGTTTTTGGAAAAGTGAATCTTTTCGAGTTCACATCATTCCTATGTAAACGGCGAATATACAGGATCTGCTATTTCCGATGGTATAAAATTCAACTTGTTTCGTTTCATTCATGTTTGGCCTCTTGGCCACACCCACTCACCTAGCCCGGCTATTGCCTCGGTCTCAAATGTGCTGATGGGCGCATAGTACCTTAGACAGGCGATTACGTTCATAGTTTGACACAATCTAGTGAACCGAAGCCAAATTGATAGCCAAACGCTCTACCTACTGAGCCATTCAACATCTAATGTGCTGAATGGCTCAGTAGGTAGAGCGTTCGACTACCAATCTGGCAGTCGAAAGTTCGAATCCTGCAAAGAAAAAGACTTTTTTATTCTATAAGCAGGAGTGCTATCTTTGCCTAATGTTACAGCTAAACGACGTCAAAATCGAAAAAAGTGCAGCGAAGTGATCGTGCTGGATGGCTCAATTGGCAGAGTGTTGGACTATCAGTCAAACACTCCCCAGTTCGTGTCTCTGCTGAGGGTAAAGTCAAATCCGCAGTGTTTGGGGTTCACTGCTACGAATGCGCCCGCTGGGGCCGTCGTAACGTCCCCTTCCCTCATGACCGAACAGGTGAGTAATGGAGATCGCCGGCATCACATAATTCAAGATAATTTCAGGTCCGCACCAAACAAGAAGCGGAATGGAACGGACGGAGCGACAACAACGTTTTCTCAAAGTTAAAAGACAGACCGGCTCTTTTTTGTGCCCCTTCGCGAAATATTCGC